AATCACTCCCCAGGGGGGATGGTCATGCCACAATCCCTTCTCCTCCATTCTCTTCTTGGGCTCTTGGAACACACATACACCTGCCAAGTGTGAGCTTCAAGCCACTGGGTCCAGAACTCGAACCATGATCGACTACGTGGAAGTCCAGTGACAACACCATTATGCCATCTGCTGGTCCTGGTACTCTACATTATTAATCATCAGAAAAATACAAATTAAAATCACAGTGTGGGACTAGCATATGGCATAGTGGTTAAGATGCTGGATCCCACATGGCCCGGACCCAGCAGCTTGAAACTCACACTGGGTGCATGTGTGTGCATGTCTAAAATCCCAAGAGGAAAATGGAGGAAAAGGGATTGTGGAGTAGCCAAACCCCCTGAAGTTACTCTACAGAGTAATTATACTGGTCCTCTTGACATCTCTATACTTTTTTTAAAAAATATTTTATTGAACTTTATTCATGTATTTACTTATTTTAATTTGACCAGAGAGGGACAGAGTGAGAAGGAAAGTGAGAAAGCAAGTCACCAGCTCTGGGACTTGAACTGTAGTCAGCCACGAGGAAGTTCAACACCCTTAACCACCATGGCACCTGTTGGCCCAGACATCTCTACCTTTTTTGACTTCTAGTATTCTGTGATTACTTGATCGCTCACACACTTGTTTAAAGACCTCAGAATTGGTGAATTCACAGGTCCACATTACTAATACCCGTATCTGGATTGAAGTTATTGCTGTTGGAGACGGGAAGGGAGACAAGGGTTTATCAGAACTCTCTAAGCATCTGCAAGATTTGTCTTAACCTAATTTATTCCCACTGCCATTATTACCCATCTCAGTACTGCTCAGCTCATATTTTGAGGATGAAAAGCAAAAGGGAAGTCAAGGGTGCTATCCCTAAGAAGGTAAGCTAGACTAGGACCTTGCTACTCAGAGGGACCCATGTACCATCACTGAGAGCACCTCCAAGGTGTCCTGGGGCCCTCCCCTAGACCTTCTGAAGCAGAACCTGCTTTCTGTGGCACTGAATAATACATAGCAAAAAATGTATTGTTACATTTATTTATTAAAGGCTTTGCTTCCCATCTTAACATTTACTCTCCCTGATGATGATGATGATGATGATGATGGAAGGTGCATGCACTCGCCAGAGAGACTGAGAAAGCAGCCCCCAACCTGGCATAGTCACACCACAATCCCGTCCCTCCATTTCTCCATCTCATAAGGACTTGGGCATGCTCACACACACACACACACACACATCTGACGTGTTTTTTAAGCTGCCGGAGTCAGAATTCAAACCAGTCAGCCATGAGGGATCCAACTCCCTATGTACAGTGCTTAACTGCTGGGCCAAGGGCCCATTATATTTAAATATAATGCTATTACTTTAAGATTAAGTTTCTCGTTTAAAGTTAAGTCATTTTTTTTTCTACTATAATGCTATTACTTTAAAATTAAGTTTCTCATTTAAAGTTAAGTCATTTTTTTTTCTTCTGAAAGTCAGAAGAACTCAAAGATAATTGTTTTAAGATCCACAGAAATGACGTGTCGAGGTGGCATCCTTGACTTGTGAAACTACGATGGTAAAATCAATGTGTGACTGTTTACAGGTCACGGAAGAAAACAAGGACAGGTTTCCTAATAGCCCAAGGTACGGAGGATGGATTGTGGACAACTGCCCTATTATAAAAGAGCTGTGGACAGTCTTAAATGACAAAGGAATTATACCCGATTTGGTGATCTGCTTATCAGATACAGAAAACAATGGTTGGTAAATATTCATTATGTAAATTCGAAAGTGAAGTTTTATTTCTGGTTGGTTTGTTTTTTGGGTTAAAACAGAGAATGGGAAACTTGCCCCCTGCCCTGTACAAGTGTGATCCCTGCAGGACCTAGAGGTACACAACATAAGGCTTCCATCCATCAAGGATATAGCCAGGAATAATGTGCTTCATCACCGAAAGTTCCAGAAGTCCCTCATAATTGCTCTTTGGATCTGAACACCTCCTTTCAGTCAGAAGCTATAACTTCTTTTTTTTTTTTTTTTTTTTGGAGAGTTGTTGGGTTTTGTTTTGTTGTTTTTGTTGTTGTTGTTTTTGGGTTTTTTGCTAGAGGGCACATGTGCTCACCAGAGAGAAATCTCCCCTTAGGGGAAATGGTCACACTGCAATCCCTTCTCTTCTATTCTCCTCTCAGGATTTTGTACATGGTACATGCATGTACGTGCACCTGGCTTGAGTTTCAAGGTCCTTTTGTGGGAGTCCAGCAATGCAACCATTACGCCATCTACTGGTCCCAGAAGCTTTCACTTTTAAACCAACAACATATGACACTGAGGACAAAGTCTGTGCATTCTCCTTTACCTCAAGTGGGAAAGATTAAATACATAAAGATAGCAGGGTTGGGGACCAGCAGGTGATGTGGTGGTTAAGGCGCTGGACACTCCCACATGGCTGACCGCAGTTCAAGTCCCGGACCTGGTAGCTCGTTTTCTCACTTTCCCTCTCTTTCTCTGTGTCTCTCTCTGGTCAAATTAAAAAAATAAATGAATGGATAAATAAATAAATCATTTTTAAAAAGATAGCATGGTTAAATTTTAATTATTTTGTAACTTGTCCTCATAAAGAAATATACTTGAGGGACCAGCAGATGGCGAAATAGCTATGTTGCTGGACTCCCATGTAGTCGACCCCAGTTCGAGTCCTGGACCCGGTGGCTTAAACTCACACTGGGCACATGTGCATGCATGCCCAAGGCCCCAAGAGGACACTCGAGGAGAAGGGATTGCAGTGTGGCCATCCCCCCGGGGAGAGTGATTTCTCACTTTCTGTCTCTCTGTCTCTCTCTGTCTTTCTGGGAAGCACACGCACCCTATAGCAAAAACCTCTCAAAAAAAATTTTTTTAAAAGAAAGAAAGAAAGAAATAGAGAGAGAGAGAAAGAAAGAAAGATAGATAGATACTTAAAATGGGAGTTTCTACGGGGGAGATGTAATCTGCCTCTTTTAGAGGTACCTGTTTTACTTATTTATGCCATATTTATATAGACCTTTTAAAAAAGGATTTAAAATGGTCTATTAATATTTTAAGGAATCTGGACATTTTTTAGATAAGTACTTAAAGGAAAATATATTTGGATAGAGGCAGAAAAGATGTTTTGCTGTTAGTTAACAAAGTATATTACACTCTATTTTATAGAGCTTCAAAAATGATAATATTCTCTTTATCTACATTTCAGGAAAATGGTTACTTAATAGGCTGTATTTTAAAAATAAACATGAAATTGACTCTAAGATTTTAGAAAGATTACGAGATGACCTACAAAAGAGAAAAAAAGAGGAAGAAGCAGCAAGGTAAAGCCATGTGGCGTGGTACACCAGATCCATGTGTCTTTCAGAGCTATGAAACATCATTTTACAGTTTATGCTTATAAAATGTCATTTATATCGAAACAACAGTCTACTCTGGTTCTAATTAATTCTAGAAAAATGATAATTTCATAAATGCTTTCAGAAGCTATAAATTATGTGAGTTGTAGGTGTTTTCACAGCCCATTCCAAACCTACTCAAAATCGAATGTCTACTCTCAAAAGACTCTGTAAAATAATGGACACACGTAAGATATATACACAGCTCGGGACCAGCAGTTAGCGTAACTGGACTCCCATGTAGTCAACCGCGGTTAGTGTCCCAGACCTGGTGGCTTAAACTCGTGCCGGGCGTGCATGCATGCGTGCCCAAGATTCCAAGAGGAAAACGGAGGAGACGGGATTGTGGCATGGCCATCCTTCCTAGGGAGTGATTTCTCGCTTTCTGTCTCCCTGTCTCTCTGGCAAGCGCTTGTGCCCTATAGCAAAAACCTCTAAAAAAAAAAAAAAGATGTATACACAGTCCTTCAGCACATAATGACACTGCAGTTAATGAGTTTCTTTGTGTAATAGTATGCCTATTTCTGAAGGCTAAATTCCTAGGGATAGCATTTCTAGATCAAAAGCTATGTATATTTTCATTTTGAGTAAATACTGCCTTTTTCTATTATCTGGCTAACTTTCCTTATACCATCTTTACCATTGTAAAGGCAAGGTTAGTGCTTCAAATCTAATGAAAAAAGGTCCCCTCCAGATACTTTTCAAATTCTAGATCTCTTTAAATCTAAGCATTACTGTGTTAAAAAGAAAATATTTAAGGTGTTTTTTCTGATTACAAACAATGTTATTATGAACGATTTAATGTTTATTTTTATCACTGGATGTTTAATCCTATATAATGACATGTCTAAATTTCCTAACATAATTAAATTTTGAATCTTTTTCTTTCAGAGAAGCCAAAGAAGAGGCATTAAGAATAGAAGAAGAAAATAAAAGGCTAATGGAAGCTATAAATAAGAAAACAAAAGGCAAGCACGGATCAATATGATTGACATGCCGTTTACTTTTGTGCTGCTACTGCAAGCCACGGCAGTATGTCAAGTGAAATGCTGACGGGGGATCATATTTCCCAGTCTGCCCACAGAGTACACATCTGTGTCTATGGCACCAAAGTATTCATTTATACTACCCCCTTTCCTTCTCAAAGTGTTTCAATTTTGATCATCAGTTCATGATCACTGGAGTAATGGACTCACAGGAAAAAGACTCCTGACACAAATACGTGCTCACACACCCTCTGACAGGACCACACAGCAGAATAGAGTGTGTGGCATGCCTGTGAATGCCTACTCTGATCACAGGTGACACATGACTGAGAGAAGACAGAATCTGTCTGCAGCAGTTGAACAAGCCCAAACTCTTAACTGTATCCATCCTCTTTACCCTTAAACTTCCATCTCCATTCCAGAAGAAGCTTAACAGTTTCTTTTAAGCCAGGCTTAAACTCAGGGGTGTGGAAACCTAATGGGAAAATAATTCCAACTTCGTTTCCACTAATATTTCACTGACATTTAATATTTACTTCAATTAATTCATATGGGCAACAAACCATACTAGTATTAGCAGTGCATTGATTTTATCACCAATAGAAATGAAGATATTTCATATATATGTAGGTATATAGTACATATATAACATGCTTATTCCTGTTCCAAAATTATGGTAGTTATTAACCCAGCTGCTAGTCCTTGTCCTTTACTGTCTTAGTAAAGATGTACAGATTTCCTGTAGCGTGGGTTTTTATTTAGTATCTTGATAACTGTATTTTAATATAATCTGTTTCTTTTTTCTTTAAAAAAAATTGCTAGAGAGTTCGTGCACTCTCCAGAGAGAGACAGAAAGTGAGAAAATGCCCCCTTATGGGGAATGGTCACATTGCAATCCCTTGTCCTCCATTTTCGTCTTTCAGGATTTGGGGCATGTGTGCATATCTGCCTGGTGTGTTTTTCAAGCTGCCGGCTCCTGGACTCAAATTGCACAGTCGGCCATTTAGGACCCAGTTGCTTTAACCACCATGCCGCCAGCTGGCCCAGTTTCTTATGTATTTTGTTTTGTGATTTGAAAAACATCATTCTGCAAACAGGTCCATTAAGTTTCACTAGACTGCCAAAGAAGTCCATGGTGGAAAAAAATGAAAAGTGTTTCAGTTTTCCACAGCTGTGCAACAAGCTATCCCAAAACTTACTGGTATAAATAATCACCACTTTCATTATGAACACACTTGCATGGGTCAGGACAATGGTTCAGGACCCTGTGGTGACAGCTTATCTCTGCTCTCAGAGCACTAGGTCCTGGCTTGGATTGATCCACCTTGACAGTGGATTCCCCCAGCCCCTGCCAAGCCTTCAGATGACTATAGTCATGACTGACGTCACTGCAACTTCAAGAGAGGCTCTGGGTAGAACCACCCCGCTAGGGCACTCCCAAAGTCCCAGCCCACAGAAACTACAAGGATAGTATTCATTTGTTTGTCTGGTTTTTTGTTGTTTTAACCACTAAGTTTTTGGCTAATTTATTATAAGCAATTGATAACTAATACAATACATAATTGAGTCAAAATGTCAGAAGTTCTAGGATATTAGAATGCTTTTCAGTCCATTCCTGTCTTATTTAGTACACAGATTAACCGTTAGGGTTCTAAATAAACTATTTGAATTTTGTACATTTTTCTGCATCATTATATAAATTATTTTAATGTCTTATCATATATGTAATATGGATAAGAGTGCAACCTATAAATAAATAAATGTACACATATTGGAGGCATACGATAATGTAGCTGGTGGCTTGAAACTCATGCTTAGGTGCATGTGCATGCATGCCCAAAATCCCAAGAGGAGAATGGAGGAGGAGAGATTGTGGCATGGCCATCTCCCCAGGAGGTAATTTCTCAAGTCTCTGTCTCTCTGGTGAGTGCATGTGCCCTGTGACTAAAATCTCTCTAAGAAAAAAAAAATCCTGGAAGTGTCCAGAAGCAAGCTCATTCATTTGTATCATCCTTGCATAGGTAGTACCTTGTTTTCCATTTTGTAAATATATTATGTCAATCTTGTAAGTATATGAAAGGGAATTGAAGAGATGGGTTTTCTGATACCATCATTCATGTTACCTTATTCCTGAAAGACTTCCATGTGTGTATTTCTTATACTGATCATCAGCAAACAAATAAAACTCAGAGTTATGCTTTTTTTTTAATTCTCAGGGGGCGTGCACATTTGCCAGAGAGAGACATAGAGAGAGGGAGAAACCACTCCTCAGTGGAGCATGGTCACACCACAATCTCTTCTCTATTTCTCCATCTCATTGAGATTTAGGGCATCCATGCATGCACATGTGTCCAGCATGCTTTCAATGGATTTGAACCACAGTCAGCCATGTGGGATCTGATTCCCTTAATCCCTAGGCTGCAGGGCTGGCTCAGAGTTATGCTTTTTAAATTTGCATTTAGCATATTGATCAATATACAATATTACTTACTACTTCTAATTAGTTGCAATAAAATCTAATATATATATATATATATATATATATGTATGTGATCTAATATATATATATACACAAATATATATTCCAGCCTGGTGCTGTCAGTAGGAATATTAATGTAAGCCACATATATATACTTTTAAATGTTCTAGTATCCACACATTCAACCTTTGAATTTGTGTACTAACTCTTTAAAATCTGTTGCATATTTTATATTTACAGTGTATCTCACCTTGTACTATCCTCCTTTCAAATGCTCAATAGCTGCATGTGGCTAGTGGCTACCATATCAGACAGTGCAAACCTAGTCATTCCCTTTTGGACACTGGGCTGTTTCTGGTTTTTCACTGTTAGGATATCTGGGACTGGGGCCAGCAGGTGGCGTGGTGGGTAAGGCGCCAGACTCCCACATGGGTGACCACAGTTAAGGCTGACCACAGTTAGAGTCTTGGATCCAGTGGCTTGAAACTCATGCTGGGCACATGTGCGTGTGTGCCCAAAAGAAAATGGAGGAGAAGGGGTTGTGGCATGGCCATTCCCCCGGGGGATAATTTCTCACTTTCCCTCTCTCTGTCTCTCTCTGGTGAGTGCATGTGCTCTATGTCGAAAAGCTTTAGAAGGGACCAGCAGGCTTTGTAATGGTTATGTGGGTATGTCATTGAACTGGCAAAAATCTCTTTCTTAAAGAAGGAGGGGAAAGTATCTGGGGTGACTATAAACATTTCCTCTTTGAAATGAACCTTAGACTACTGCTCCCACAGCACTGACCAGATGGTGGCTGTCATTCCTACCACTGTATCTTAAAAGATAAAACATGTAGATAAATGCTCTCCCCTGTTAAACCATATGCTCAAGAAGGGCAGGAACTATTCCTTATTATTTTTTTGGGCCTTAGCACTTATCAGCAGCCAATAGGTGCTTGTTGACTTGAACTAAGATCATTTATTTCTCCTAATTTTTTCTAGAAGCTGAAGACGCTGATGAGGGAGAAGATGAACTTGAAGGAGAGGAGTCTGAATTCCATGAGTTGGAGGGACTCGATGCTGCGTCTGAGGAGATCCGAGGGTCATTGTTACCTGAAGAGTTTGAAGTACCTGATATCCCTGAAACAGAACCCGAATTAGGTTAGACTTTGTTGAGGGTCAAATATTCAAATACAAAACTTTCTCCTTTCCTCTACGGTCTTTTTCTCAACTTACAATATTTCTTATTTGCTTTTAAGTGCCATTCTAAGGGGAAAAAAATCAAATTTAAATAACTAGCATGAATTTTTCTGTCCACTTTTGTACTGTACAATGCCACTTTCGTATTTTTTTTAATTGCCAGAGAGCATGTGTGCTGGACAAAGAAAAATGAGGCCAAGAGACAGAGGGAGAAGGAAAAAGCACCCCACCTCCGTTAGGGCATGGTCACACCACAATCCATTTTCCTCCATTTCTTCATCCTGTCAGGATTTGGAGCATGCATGTACATGTGCCTGGTGTCATTTTCAAGCCACCAGGGCCAGGAGTTGAACTGCAGTTGCTATGTGGGATCCAGTGCCCAAAACCACTAGCCATACAACTAGCACCCAATGCCATTGTTAATTTTTTTTTTATTTTTTTAGTTTTACTATATAGCATGTGTTGGGGGGAGAGGGGGAGGGGCAGGGAGTGAGAAATCACCCCCTACGGGGGTGACCACACTACAATCCCTTCTCCTCTCAGATTTTGGGCATGCACATATGTGTGCCCACTGTGTTTCTCAAGCTGCCTGATCCAGGACTCAACCATGCAGTTGGCCATATGGAATCCAGCCTTAACAACCATGGCCCCAGCAATGTCATTTTTAAGTGCAAATATAAGAGCATTTAACTTGTATACAGAATCACCAGAATTTCATTACAGATTGAAATGTATAAAACATATATATATATATATATATATACACACATATATATATATATAAATCATACATATATGATATATGTATGTTATATACATTTTATTTTTACGAGAATATTAAATTACTTACAGTGTGCTAACTGAAGTTTTTATTTCACTTCTTTCATTTTTATTTTTTATTTTTATTTTATTTTATTTGAGAGAAATCCCAGCTATAGGGCATGTGCACTCATTGGAGAAATAGAGAAAGACAGAGAGACAGAAAGTGAGAAATCACTCCCAGGGGGAATGACCATACCACAATCCCCTCTCCTCCATTCTCCTCTTAGAATTTTGGGGACACGCAGACGTGTGCACGCACCCAGCATGAGTTTCAAGCCACTGGGCCTGGGACTCGAATCATGGTCAGCCACATGGGGGTCCAGTGACTCAGCCACTACACCATCTCCTGGTCCTTTATTTCACTTCTTAACATGCACATATTCTCCAACACTCTATACCTGTAGCTGGCTAAAATATAAGGAAAGACAGAGGGGGAAATTGCTGAGAGTCCTGCCCTCTCTTTCTCTTTTCTTCTGTGCCATCATTTTCACATCATACTCCTATTTTAGCTAACCACTTATGCTGAAAACGATGACATGGAAGGAAAGGAAACAGAGGGCAACACAGAGTAACATGAGGAAGAACAGATACGATGGAGCTCCTTGGTCATTTGTGTTTCTTTGAGTACCATTGCCTGCTTTCTGAGTTTGAAGCAAGTTCTTGTTCAAACGGAATACGTAATCTCTCAGGGCCGTCAGGGTTTCCCCTCCTCCCACTTGGTCACTCTTACTCCTTCACATCACAGGTCCATTGGAACTCTGTGCTCATGATGGGTCTTCAGGAATGCTCATGAGAGGGAGATGGCAAGGGATGGCAAACATCATGCATATCTGCTCTGTGCATGTGTGTGCCATTGTCCCATTGGAGTCTGTGGGACTTCACTTACAAAACACAAGTTCAAAGATAAGATGGTTTTAAATTTCAGAATGACAACAAAAAGCATTAAACTAAGCATGAAGCCCTTCAGGTGACCTTGTGAAATTTTTGAGAGAGATCAGATTGCACACGTTGCACACTTACAAAGTCAGCCCTACATCAGGGGTCTAGTTTGGTGGGTTGGAGCAGAGCAAGGATTCTGTGGACAAAGAAAATCACCCTAGGTAGAACCAGCAGTTGGCGTGATGGCTATGTTGCTGGACTTCCATGTAGTTGACCGCGGTTCAAGTCCTGGAACCAGTGGCTTAAACTCATGCTGGGCACTTGTGCCTGAGTGTCCAAGATCCTGAGAGGAGAATGGAGAAGGGATTGCAGTGTGGCCATCCTCCCTGGGGGGTGATTTCTTGCTTTCTGTCTCTCTCTCTCTCTCTGTCTCTCTGGCAAGCGCATGCGCCCTATAGCAAAAAAAAAAAAAAATCACTCTAGGGACTAGGGACTAGAGAGTGGGCTTAACGCAGCAAGATGAGGTGCTCCCACCATGATGGGAATAAGCATTGTTACTCCTGGCATTGTTACTACTGGACCAGAAACTAATCAGGGTCTTTCGGTACCTGAAACTAGATGCCAGCCTGGAGCAGTGGAGGGCTGAGAACCTACTGTTAGCTGGTAAAAGAAGCAGGACTAAGGGAGATTTTTGCAGTGAGAAATCTCAAATTCAGCACAGGTCATTTTACTACAGGGACTGGCATTAGCTTTATGAGACAATGTCTGAGTCCATTGGGCTGCCATAGCAGAATACCATAGACTGGACAGCTTAAGAACAAATTTATTTCTCACTGTTCTCGAGGCTATAAAGCCCATGATCAGATGTTGGTAAATCCAATGTCTAGCGGAGACCCTTTCCCTGGATTCCAGATGACTGTTTTCTTGTTGCATCCTTACATAATGAAGAAAGAGATCATCTCTCCACAGCTACATGTAATCCCATTGATGTGGTTGCACCCATATGACCTAATTACCTCCCAAAGGCCATTCACATTGGGAATTCAGGCATCACCATATGAATTTGGAGAGGGTGGGGGTTACAAATATTCAGTTTATAGCAAATAATGTTCTATACAACCAGAACACTGGTACCAGACAGAGGCACTAGCAGGATGAAATATTCAGTTTCCTTTTAAGAGTCTCATACTTCACGTGTCGCCTTGCACTCCCACCCGGGACCTTCGTTAATCTCCACTCCCCAGCCAATTAGGCTGACAGTTCTTCCCACCCGTCTGCCTTTTGCAAGAAGATGAGCTATAGGGGCCACCAGGTGGCATGGTGGTTAAGGCGCTGGACTCCCACATGGCTGACCACAGTTTGAGTCTCAGACTTGGCAGCTTGAAAATCATACCAGGCATGTGTGCATCCTTCCCAAAATCTTGAGGGGGAATGGAGTAGAAGGGGTTGCAGCATGGCCATCGTTTTCCTTCTCTGTTTCTCTCCGGCCAACACTTGTGCCCTATGGCAAAAACCTGGAAAAAAAAAAAAAGTTCTAAAATACAAAAAGGAAATTGACATCCATTGAATATGATACATCAAACATATCTCTAGGTCCTAACATCTCACAAGCAGTATTTACTAATGTAACAAATCTGGGGGAGGATTTAGTTTTGTGTGTCTTTTATCTCCTTATCTCCCCAGCATCCTATGCCATTTAGGGTCAGTTCCAGCCCAGGACTTAGACATGACTGGGCTTCTCGACAGCTGGTTCACTTCTAGTAAATCATGGCTTGGGGGAGGGCTGGGGTGTTTTAGTTAGTTCGTTTTGGTCATATTAAACCATATTCTAGTTCACAGAAGGGCTTGCATCTGATTTAGCCAATGATGACCTCTTTCATACAAGGATCTCTTTCTACAAAGTCTTCTCTTCTAAATTGCTTAAGTGGGTTTTTTTTCCTTCCCTTAAAACTGCTCTGACTGATATAGTCATTATTCTTTTTTTTTAACTTTACCCTGTAGCAAGTTAATGAAACCATCCCAAAATATGTTCACATCCTAATTCCCAGAACCTGTGAATGTTACCTTATTTGGGAGAAAGATATTTGCACAAGTAACTAAATTAAAGATTATGAGATGGGGGCGTATCTGGGGATTACCCATCCATTTAACTGCCATACCAAGTGTCCTTACAACAAAGAGGCAGCCCGATATTAGGCACACGGAGGAGAAGGGGACGGGAAGATGGGGGCAGGCGTCGGAGTGATGCAGGCTAAAGCCAAGGAGTGCAGGCTGCCAAGGGCAGCTTGAAGAGGCACAAAGGACCCTCCTCCCAGAGCCTCTGGGTTTCTCATTTCTGCCATCCACAACAGTGAGAAAGTAAACTCCTGTTGTGTCAAGCCACCAACCCTGTGGCAGTTTATTACGGCATCCAAGGGAGCCACGGCCTGCCCCACGCAGGATTCTGTCTGCCTCAGTCCAGGGAATACATCTTTTCTTTTGAAGTCTGACATCTGTCTTGGTCACAAGATAATCATTGCCTCTGTCAGTACTCAGATAGGATGACTGGAAATTCTTTTCAATCTGCTTGTCACTGTAGCCTTCTTAGACTAGAATGAATGGTACATGTGTTATTTAGTCAGGGGTGTAATGGAAAATAAGCCATGCATTCGGGAGCCTTGGAAACAGTCCCTTTCGTTGTTCCCAGTTTGCTTTTTCCTTGTTCTTGTATTCGTCACCGGCTCCTTATATTCCACGGTGCCTGTAGTAACTACTGGTTCACATCGCAGTGCTTCATTCCAAGCACTTCACGGACATTTAAGCTGCTGATAAACATTAGGGATCGTTCATTCCTTTAGCAAACGTTTACTGAGTTTCTCTTACGTGCCATGCACAGGCCAGTGTCAAGGCCTGCTCAGCGAGACCAATACCTGTAGGGGAGTGACAGCAGATTTAGAAATAAGACACACAAACACACAGTAGAGAAAAGTGAGGATTGGGTCCAGGCGTCTCACTGAAGATAGCCACAGCCCTGAGCCATTCCCAGGTTTATTCTTCCATAGGGTAAAAGGGGGCGGGTATAGGACGCCAAGCCGGATGCCCCATCGTATATAAGCGGGTGCTGTGGAAGGTCCTGTGCCTTGCATTTCTAGTCTCTTGTCTCCCCCGGCCCACTCTGGCTGATACAGTTTCTCTCTACCTCTGTCGGCCTTGCAGCCTGGGTACAAATCATGGGAAACTGTGCCTTTGCTCATCTTTAAAAGCCATCATTGTTCTGCCTAGGTCTGGCCACTTGCCACAGGTCAGCGCCGTGGTGCAGTGGTTAAGGGAGCCAGATCCCATATGGCTGACTGTGGTTCAAAAGCCAGCCCCAGCAACTTACAAAGCAATGGTGGGCACACGTGTATGTGTGCCCCAAATCCCAACAGGATGGAGAAATGGAGACAAGCTTGCAATGTGACCAGGTCTCATCAGGGGGTGTCTTCTCCCCTTCTCTCTCTCTGTTTCTCTCTAGTGAGTGCATATACCCTAAACTGAATTCTAACCCTAGTCCTAATCCTCTCCTTTTATTTATTTATTTTATGAGCAAGGTGGAGAAAGAGACAGAGAGATGGAAATCCTAATGCGTATTTTAATTCTGCTATTGCATTTTAGATTTCCTTGCTTCATTTTCTCATTTCAGTTAATGTCTTATATTTCTGCCTCTATTTTAGGTTGGTCGGGGTCAGAAGTGGCATGGTGGTTAAGGCACTGACTTCCCACATGACTGACCACAGATCAGGTTCCGGGCATGATGGCTTAAAAATCACACCAGCATGTGTGTGTGTGTGTGTGTGTGTGTGTGTGTGTGTGTGTGTCCAAAATCCCTAGAGAAGAAGGTAGGAAAAGGATTGTAGTCATCCCCACAGGGGTGATTTCTCACTTTTCGTCTTTCTGACTCTCTCGGGCGAGTGCATGCACCCTATGGAGGAAAAAAAAAAGCTATTTTAGGTTGGTCTTTCTTTATGCCTTATGGTTTATATTTCATAGACTCTGTTGTCCTCTTGTGCTTTTTGAGTACTCCAAGCGTATGTCTATAAAATTTATGCTGCTTTATATCGGCCAAACAGTGTTTTAAGAAACAGTGCATATACCCTAAACCGAATTCTAACCCTAGTCCTAATCCTCTCCTTTTATTTATTTATTTTATGAGCAAGGTGGAGAAAGAGACAGAGAGATGGAAATACAGGTAACCCCCACAGGTCTTCATGCTGTGACCCACCCCAGTCTCATCCAGCCTAGATCATAGGCAGGTACAGGCCCAGAGTGCTCAGGGGGCTTTCAGGACACAATCCAGGACTTTTCTCATATGAGGACAGTGGCATCACCACTGCCACCACCTGGCCCCAGCGTTCCTTTTTTTTTTTTTTCCTGTAGAATGTGAGCGATTTTCCCCTGGAAAATCAAAATTCAGTCAGTTCTTTATATTTTCTTTTTTGCTTTGTTTTGTTTTGTTGAAGAGGTTTTCGTTATAGGGTGCATGCGCTCTCCAGAAAGACAGAGAAACAGAGAGACAGAAAGCAAGAAATCACAATAAGGAGCAGAAAATAAACCAGTGATATAGAAGATAACAAGTCTCTAGAGAATACAGAGAAAAAGTACAAAGATATGGAAAGCATCGGGGGCAAGAAGATAATCTGAAGCAGTAACTGAAGAAAGCTGTTTTGAGCTAGACAAAGACTGGAGTTTGAAAATAAAAAGAACTGGGACCAGCAGTTAGTGTAATGGCTCTCCTGTAGTCGACCGCAATTTGAGTCCTGGACCTGGCAGCTTAAACTCACGCCAGGCATGTGTGTGTGTGTGTGTGTGTGTGTGCCGAAGATCTTGAGAGGAGAATGGAGGAGAAGGGACTGCAGCGTGGCCATCCTCCCTGGGAGGTGATTTCTTGCTTTCTGTCAGGGCCAGCAGGTAGCGTGGTAGTTGAGGCTCTGGACTCCTACCCACATGGCTGACTGCTGTTCAAGTCCCAGACCTGGCAGCTTGGTTTTTTTCACTTTGCATCTCTCTTTCTCCCTCTCTCTCTCTCATGAGTGCATGTGCCCTGTAACAAAATAATAATAATAATAATAATAA